TTCCTGGTAAATAGAAATCTGCCGTACAGAGATTTCCTGAGTGCTTACTTTAAGCTTCCGTTTACCTCGTATAACAATCCTTCTGTCCACTGGGTCAGAGTCCTTCTATTTAAGACATTGTCATCAGCACTGCCATTTTGGGGACCCAATTTAGACCTAATGTTGATTTTTTTAGTTTCTGAGTCTAGTTGAATGAATTTTTTTTTGGGCCTTCCTACGTGTGTGTGTGTGTGTGTGTGTGTGTGTGTGTGTGTGTGTGTGTGTGTGTGTGTGTCTTATATATGTTTAGTGTTAGAGGTTGATGTCAGATATCCATTTGTTGTTCTCCACCTTATTTAGAGGGGACATAGTTTTCCACTGAACTTGAACTCACTGTTTTTGTAAAACTGGTTGCCTCTCACCCCACCCCAGCTCCCCTTCTGCCCATCCGCACCTCACTAGTGCTGGAGTTAGAAGTATGCACCGCCAGACCCAAGACACCACATTTGACGTTTTATTTGTATGCTGGGAATCTGCTTGTGCAGCACACACTTTATCACTGAGCCATCCCTTAGCACCTCTCCTACTTATTGTGAAAGTTTTTTCATCTAGTTTGTTGGCTTTAAGTTTTCCACAGTTGTTTAGACTTGAAATTTTTCTATGTATAGAGAAAAATTCTTTTCTAAAGCAAAGGAAAATGCTTATAGAAAAAAGCCAATCCTCAGACAACCCGGTAATTCTTTGTTAATGATTGAAGTCCTTTGATTCAGTCCCACCTCTCAAATAAAGATATGACTTTGAGGATTACGTTTTCAGCACACGAGTTTGGCAGATATTCGAATCGTAGCATACTCATACTGTGTATTCCCTATCTCTGTCCTTCTACACTCTGGGCTCGGTATAAAAACTCAGTAATTGACTCTTATTTTAACCTTGCTTTCCTCTTCACCCCATCTATCAACTTTTTATATAATCATGTTTTATATCTTTTATATAAACATTATAACCTGGAAAGGTCTTTAAACATTTATTTTACAGTCTCCCACAGGGTCTCCTACCTGTTTTCTTTAGATTTTGTTATAATCTTAATTTTTTTGTCTCAAATAGTTTTTCTGATTTGTGGTTGCCCTTTCTCATCAATGAAGTCAGCACTTCATCTCTGAGGAGCTTACTTAGTGTTAGCCTCTCTGACTCACCTATGAAAATGGTACTATGCCTGTCTATAATCCTGCTCCAGGGGATCCACTGCCCTCTCCTGGTTTTCTTGGATACTGCATGCATATGGTGCACAGACATATGTGTAGCCAAAACACCTTTATACATAAAATAAATCTTTTTAAAAACGAGGGTAAATGAGAATATAAAGACTGTTGTGGGAATTAAAAATAGTAGCATATAAAGTGTGTAACACAGCATGGTAGACAGTAATCATTGCAGTTAATTTTTTTCTTTTATATTCTGTTCTGATATTTTTTACCCTTTTCTTGTCCAGTCCTCTGGATATATTAATATTTCCTCTGGTAAACTGAAGCAAGGATTAGTAATCTTTTCTTTTAAGGTGCTATGTAATAAATGTTTTGTGTTTTAGGTCATATAGTCTGATGAAATAGAGTTGACATGAATTATCCTTAGATTCTGTATTAGTGATTTCAACTAATCATGAATAAAATATTTTAGAAAAAAATAGCATTTGTACTTAGCATGTGCATTTTTATCTTGTATCGAATAACACATGATGGTAACAACTTACATACATTCGCATTTTGTCAGGGGTCACAAGTAATCTAGAAATGGTTTAAAGTATATAAGATGTATGTAGTCATGCAGATGTTGTGGCATATAAGGAACTTGAACACTTGTGGATTTTGGTGCATGGTGAGCATGCATGGTGCGTGGTGAGCCTGAGAAGTGCTCACCAATCCATCCCATATACCACAAGGTCCCTTTCCTTTCCTCCTCAGTTTCTGTGTATGTACTCTCTTCCCCAAGTATCCTAGTCTAGAGAATATTAGGAACTACGAGAAAAGAGGGTTCAAGGTGAATCTTTCAGTGAGATAGTTATTATACAGTTTCATATAGAAAACTGGAGTTTTTGCTATATTGCACTATTAAAATGGTTGTTTTAGAAAATTCAATCTTGTTCTGGTTTCTGTATGCATTTTCCCTCCCTAAAACATCCTGTGGCCACTTGTCAGAGTTGCTTATCCTGTTTTGTTTGGCAGTGCTGAGAATCCAGCCCAGAGTTGCATGCCATGTTCAACCAATAAGCTCCAGCCTCTGCCCCACTTGCTAGTTTTAAAATACTGACTCAGGTGTTGTGGCGCATGCCTTAATCCTAGCACTCGGGAGAGAGAGGCAGGTGAGTCCCTGAGTTTGAGGCCAGCCTGGTATAATAATGAGTTCCAGGATAGCCAGTGCTATATAATAAAGAAACCCTGTCTCAAAAATAAATAAATAAACAAATAATAGTGTTGATATCTGCAAACATTGAACCATAGGGTGGGATATGGTGTGGCACACACTTTTTTTTGCAATTATTTCCTTATTCATTCATTTTACTTCCCGATCGCAGTTTTCCCTCTCCTGTCCCCAGTCTTTTCTGCCCACTCCCCCCTGCCTCTCCCATCCACTCCTCCGTTTCTGTTCGGAAAAGGGCAGGCCTTCCATGGATATTGACAATACATGGCATATCAAATTGTAGTAAGACTAAGTACCTCGCCTTGTGTTAAGACCTAGGCCCTTGGCATATATGTGACAGTTGTGTAGCAGGGGCTGTCCCCGACACTTTTACTGGCTTTTGGGACCCTATTCCTCATACTGGGTTGTCTTGCCCAGTCTTAATAAAAAGTGGCACACACTTTTAATCCCAGCACTCCAGAGGCAGAGGCAGGTAGATCTCTGTGTCAGAGGCCAACCTTGTCTACATAGTCTAGATCATGTCATCCTGGGCTGCATAATGAGACTGTCTACGAATGAATAAATGAATAAGGTTAAATATAGAAAGCCATTTCTAGGAGAGCACTTTTGGGGTCCCTACTATTAAAGTTTAGCTCAAGTGTCTTAAAATTTCTCAACTCGTCCAAATACTTGATTTTCTTTAGTGAATTTTATATTTTAGGTTCTATTTTCAGGGAAAACTTTTGTCTTAAAGTTCTTCAGTTTGTGTATTTTTAAAATGTAGAAAATAAAATTTAGGATTTATTTGCTTTGACAACCAAGTTATGCTATTTTCTAAGACTAGTTTTGCCAAAGGAAGAATGAAAAAAAAAAATTTAGAACTTGAACCATAATGTTAAGGAGTCGAGATTGACTTAAAACTTAAACAGAGTGCCATGTTTATCCTGTCCTCTGTATTTGTCAGTAGTCTTAGCCAAAGTAAGACATTTTCTGGTGCTTGTTGGAAGTGCAGAGATTTCCATAAAAAGACATAGAGTTTTCTTGGAAGAATATAGTGGTTTTCTTCCTTGGCAGTGATGTGTTAGAAGTAACTCTCCCTTTAGAAGGAAAATGTTAACTCCAATTACTCTTACTGATAATTTGTATGTGTGTACTTGTTGGACAAGCTGTTTTATTATTTCTATGGACGTGTAGATATGTATATCTACAACCAGTATTCTGTATGTGAAAAACGACTTTGAAAGTTGGATATCTTAACCATTTTGTTAAGGAACAGAAGCTAAATATTCTGTTATTGGAGAGTTTCCTGAAGTAATTTGATCATTTCTGAATTCTTTCCCTAATTCCTGTTTCCCTAGAAAATCTGGAGGTATTTGAGAAATATAAGCAAGCTCACTGTTGCTGTATTGTGATTACCCCGTGAGAACTAGTGAGTTCACATATTGTCATGATAGCAGTCCCTAAGAGGCTTGGATAAGGATAGAACCGTCTTGGTGCAGGAAACACATGCTCTGTATTTAGCCATCAGTATTGTTCTCAGGTAAATGAGAGCACTATCTAATACATGCTTAGGATGCCCACATAAATTTGTCAAGCACAGACTTAGCACATCTCCCCCTTTCCCTTCTTCTGTCTCCGTGAGAACATGGAGTTAATTTTCAAGCTTCCTTCTTAGCGTTCTTCTCTTTTCACTGGGTGTTTTTTAGTTGATTTCATCTGCCGCTGTGGTTCTAATTGCTACTGTCTTTCTAGTCCCTTCCAAACTTGAGTTTCAAAACTAGCCATCAAATTCTATTACATACTTTTCCCACAGGACTCTCACATGGAATTTCTCCAAGAAATGTTCCTGCTTCAGTTGCAGGTGCCCTATCAGCCACTTTTTTGCTCAAGCTAGATAATTAGAAGTTATGCTTGCCTTTCTTTTTTCTCCCAACTATTATCTCTGATCAGTTAGAGTCCCATGCCTTCAGAAAGCACTGCTCCCTTCTCAGTGTATAGTGTGACTATACAGGTCTCCATCAGTTCTCACTGAACTACGGACGTGATTTCCTAACTAATCTCCTTTCCTCAGTATATGTTATATAAACATAGCCATAATAATATTAAAGAGATCACTGTGTCAGGACTGGAAAGATGGCTCAGAGGTTAAGAGCACTGGCTGTTCTTGTAGATAACTCAGGTTTGATTGACAGCCCCTACATGGTGGCTTACAACCATTAATAACTACAGTTCCAGGGGATCTGGTGCTCTCGTCTAGCCTCCACGGGTATCTGGCACGCATGTAGTGCACAGACATGCAAGCAATCAGAATACTCTTGCACATAAAAAATGAAATTTAAATTTAAAAAACAGTTTTCTCCCTTTGAGTAAATAGATAAAATGTAAACTATATTAGACTTGATGATTGATACCTAGTAGGAGGTCATCTTCAGTAAATTAAAATGTCTGGCACTGGTCCTATAAATCTATTATTGAAAACTATTTGATTTTTGCTCAGTAACCCTAGTGCTTTGGCTAGATGACATCAAGGGGAAATCTTTTAAGCAAAACCCTATATTTGATGTTACAGTCTTAAGTTGTTTTGTATGTTTGTGAATTTTTATTTTCATTTTTTTGTTTTCCAGGTTGTCAGTATTTAAACAGAGCACATCATGCGTGAGTACAAGCTAGTGGTCCTTGGTTCAGGAGGCGTGGGGAAGTCTGCTCTGGTAAGTTAGCCACCCAGATATAACTAATCAGTATCAACACCCAGGATGTGGGCATTGGCTTGTTCTCATGCTGCTAGTCACTAAGGAAAAGGGAAACATTATTCTTTATAAACCTGCTGTCTGTAGCCCAAAATGTGTAGCTCTATACTGTTTAGTCACTCACCTACTCTGTTGTCTGCCAGCTACTTACTGGCCACTAGTATTTGTGAGTCAAAGTGGAATATAATTTTTATTGTCAGGGAAGTTTAAGTTCCACTGGGGAAGAGTGTTACAGATTGTTCTCCTTTGCCTGACTCCAAGCTTGCATGGAATAAAACCTACTTTTTGTTTTATATGAGGTACCATCCAGCCTCTGGGGTCACAACAGCAAATAAAAAGTCTTTTGTGGAGCTTACTGTGTAGCAGAAGGGGAGATGTAATAATACCAATTAAACAAAACTACTTGGTGCTCTCAAACAAAAATTCAGAATTTTAAGGGAGTGACAGACAAGTGGACCTGAGCTTTGACAACTTCAAGAAAGGCCAGAATAGCCAGGCATGAGATGACGGGGTAGAGCCCAGCTGACTTAAAAGATTACTATGTAAGAGCTTGTAAGTAAAGTCCAAGAACAGTAAGACATAGAATGTCTTGAGGGAATTAACACTCAGTGAATTAGATAAATGTTTTATTTAACAAGTGGGCTTTATACTGTGTAGTTTAGAAGAGTGGGAGAAAGTTGGGAGGTTGTTAAGCACCCTAGTTTGCTTATGTGTGCTTGGATTAGGGCCGAGACAGTGAAGAAGAGAGTAGGACACCTAAAGTTTTACTGTGATTATATGCTTAAGTTTCTTTAAATAATTTAAGTGTAGATGACCTTAGTCTGTATATTTGCCTTTGTTTATAAGTAAGAATATTCCAGACCCTGCTTTAAGACTTCCTAGAGGCCAAGCGATGGTAGCGCATGCCTTTAATCCCAGCACTTGGGAGACAGAGGCAGGTGGATCTCTGTGAGTTCATGGCCAACCTGGTCTACAAAAAGAATTCCAGGACTGCCAGGACTTTTAACACAGAGAAACCCTGTCTCGGGGAGGGGGGAACCTTCTCAGAATTATCATCTATACTTGCCATTAATTTAATAATTGATAAATATTCTTTTTAGTATACGTTCAGACATGTCCATTCAGTATACTGCAGATAAAAGCACAGCGTTCTCTCTGTCATTCTGTCTCAAGGCCCTCAGTTGATTCCTGAAACCATATTCAGATATATACACTACCTAGTTATCTTTTTCTGCTGTATCTTAGCATAGTCTGTTACCTGTGACTAGGTAGTGTTTTCCACTGGAAAGAGTAAGGCTTAGGAATCAGAAAGATGATGTATTGTAAGTTCAGCTGGCAAACTGGAAAAGTATTTCTGGGGTAAAAGTGTATCTTAAGTGTGATTACATCCTAAAATTGAAACAAACAGATGTTCAGTAACACTAAATTTCCTGTTTTTCCTTAGAGTTTAAAAGATATAAACATTTAGAACCTTTGTTTGTCTCTTTTTAGACAAGAAGTTACATTTGAATAGTTTCATTTTTAATGAACTAGAATCTTGTTAAGGTATAATATAATCATGTTTAGCAATGTAGCAGATGTATTTTAAGTTTTTGACATGGCCATCTTTTTTTTTTTTTTTTTTTTTTTGGGTTTTCGAGACAGGGTTTCTCTGTGGCTTTGGAGCCTGTCCTGGAACTAGCTCTGTAGACCAGGCTGGTCTCAAACTCACAGAGATCCACCTGGCTCTGCCTCCCTAGTGCTGGGATTAAAGGCGTGCGCCACCGTCGCCCGGCCTAGGCGGCCATCTTTTTTTGTAATAAATTTCTTCTTAGTTTTGTATGCATTCTTATCGAAAAGTAATACTAATGCTTAGCTTTTGTGTTTATTCAGATTTTCAACACAATTTCATTTATTCTTTAAAGTTTGTAAGGTTAAGTAACACTTAGGAACATTTGATTTTCCTTTCAAGTCTTTAACTCTAGTTTGTTTGTTTTCTCCTCTCAGACAGTTCAGTTTGTTCAGGGAATTTTTGTTGAAAAATATGACCCAACGATAGAAGATTCCTACAGAAAGGTAAAATGTGAAACAGTGTGTGCACTTACGAGTGGGCCTCACAGCTTTCAGACTTGGTGCATGGTTGCTTTAAAGACATTTTGAGAAATGGCAAATCTGCTGTGTCTGTTTTTAGAAGTTTCACCTGAATAAAGCATTCCTCAATGAACGTGCTTAGGAGAGCATTTTATCTGCTGCTGCTACTACTGCCGCTTAATAATCCTCCCCCCTCCCTTCCCCCTCCTTCCCTCCCCCTCCCTTCTTCCTTCCTTCCTTCCTTCCTTCCTTCCTTCCTTCCTTCCTCCTTTCTCCTTCCTTCCTTCCTTCCTTCCTTCCTTCCTTCCTTCCTTCCTTCCTTCCTTCC